TACATCAAGGCTTGACTATGCAAACTCCTTTGTCAGCCTCCCCAACTCCTACCTTCATAGGCTGCAGATTATCCAGAACTCTGCAGCCCGTGTCCTCTCCTGCACTAGGCTCCAAGACCCTATCACCCCCATCCTCGCCCGACTCCACTGGCTTCCCATCACACAGAGGATACAGTTTAAGATCATATAAATGCCCAGCTCTTAAGATAATAATGATGTTGTAGACCTGTCTTTTCTAATCAAATGTACGTTTAATATGTACTAGCTGCACCTGTCTATGCTTGCAACCAAGGGATTCAATATGGAATGTACAATGACACACAGAGAGACATTTTATCTTTATCTGTACTCAGCTGGGAGGACTTTTGTGGAAGACTTTGTTCCTCAGTTTCATTTAATGGGCATTCTCTCTTATGTCTAGCATTTTTACTTATCCTTGAAAGGTTTGATTTTCATTTAGGCATCTTTATAATAAATATAAATGTATAATTTATAATCACTGGGACATCCTACTGACGGGAAAGGCACTTTAATGATGTAATTTTGTTGTTGTTGCCGCGGCTTAGCTTCGTCTGTGTTCTTTATTTTGAACCTCTTTGAACCCCAGGAAACAGCCCTGGTCAAAGTCACTAATGACATTCTGAACATCTGTGATCAGGGCTCCCTCTGCCTCCTTGTCCTCCTCGACCTCTCTGCCGCCTTCGATACAGGCGGCAGAGAGGCGGCAGAGAGGTCGAGGAGGACAAGGAGGCAAAGGGAGCCCTGATCACAGATGTTCAGAATCCATCCTCATACACCGCCTCTCCGCTTTGCTCAATCTTCATGGACTTGCCTTTGCCTGGTTCGATTCCTATCTCTCTCACAGTCTCCACTTCGTTGCCTCTAACGGTTTCTCCTCCAGGCCCCGCACTGTCACGCCTGGCATCCCCCAAGGCTCTGTCCTTGGCCCTCTCCTCTTTAATACCTACATGCTCCCCCTTGGTGACATCATCCGCAGACATGAGGTCAACTTCCATATGTATGCGGATGACACCCAACTCTGTCTTTCTGCCTCCACCATCAACTCCAGGACCACTGCTGTCCTGACAGACTGTCTGTCGGACATCAAGTCCTGGATGAGGGCAAATTTCCTACAGTTGAATGTGAACAAGACTGAGGCTCTCCTGATCGGCGCGCGCCAGCACCTCAGCACCTCAGGCTCTGGCAGCATCAACCTCCATGGTTGCACAGTACAACTCACCGCCAGTCAGGAACCCAGGTGTCTTGTTCGACCCTCACCTGTCTTTTCTTCCCCACATCCAAGCCATGATCCGCTCTGCCTTCCCTCACCTCTGTAGCATCGTCCAACTCCGCCACTATCTCATCCCTCAGGCCGCTGAAACTCTTGTTCATGCCTTCATCATCTCCAGGCTCAACAACAATAACTTGGATTTATATACGCCCTCCACGCCGGACGACGTCTCAGAGCACTTCACAGTAACGCATCCCGGGATATAGCGACTATGCAAATGCCCTGCTTGTTGGCCTTCCCAACTCCTCCCTCCACAGACTGCAGATAATCCAGAACTCTGCAGCCCGTGTCCTCTCCTGCACCAAACTCCATGACCCCATCTCCCCCATTCTCACCTGACTCCATTGGCTCCCTATCCTTCAGAGAATCCAGTTCAAGATCCTGGTCCTCACATACAAAGCCCTCCATTGCCTCGCCCCACCCTACCTCAGTGACCTTCTAACGCCCTACCAACCAGCCATTCCCTCCGCTCAGCCGGCTCTGACCTGCTCCATGTCCCCCGACCCACCCGCCCCACCATTGGTGGGAGAGCCTTCAGCCACTCTGCCCCCAACCTCTGGAATTCCATCCCCCAGTCACTCCACCTCGCCCCCTCCTTAGCCTCCTTCAAGTCCCTCCTCAAAACCCTCCTCTTCGACCATGCTATCTGCCACCCCCCTTCCCCTCCCCTCCATCCCCCCCCCACCTCCCAACCCCAGCTCAGGTCTGAAATGCTGTACACTGTTCAGTGCCGTGGGACGTCCTCCCAACATGAAAGGCGCTATACAAATGTAATCTTGTTGTTGTATTTTCACCCACAAAATACACAGTCAATCTATTTCATAATATACTCTGTGAAGCGCCTTGAGACATCTCAATGACGTGGTAGGGTGCTGAATTAATGATGACACCCAACTCTATCTCGCTGCCTCCACCCTCGACTCCAGGACCGTTGATGTCCTGGCTAATTGTCTGGCCGAGAGCCAACTTCCTCCAGCTCAATGTTGGCAAGACCGAGGCCCTCCTGCTTGGCTCCTGGCAGCGCCTCCTCACCTCAGCTGCTGACACTATCACCACTCATGGCTGCAGTCGTCACCTCACAGAGCCAATACAAAACCTCGGTGTCCATTTCGACCCCCAGCTATCCTTCAAACCCTACATTCGTGTTGTGACCCGTTCCACCGCCCCCAATGTCCTAACCCCAGTTCAGCCTGTCCACTCCTTCCGCTCGGTGGACACCAGCCCACTTCAGGTCACACTTCCTGCCCTACCATGGGTGGTCGGGCATTCAGCATCTCTGCCCCTACACGCTGGAACTCTATCCTGCAATCCTCACCCTCTCTCTTGCCTCCTTCAATTCCTGTCTAAAGACCTTGCTCTTTGACCTGTGCCTTCAGCCACCCTCCCACCCCCATCCCCCTTGGCCTCCATCTTTCCTGACCCAACTCCCAGCTCAGGTCCAAAAAACCCTGACTGTTCAGCACCTTGGAACGTCTTTCCGACTTGAAGGGCGCTATACGTGTGTAATTTGTTTCTATTGTATTACTTTTAAAACATTTCTTCAAGAAGTCTGTATATGTATGTATGTGTGTATGTGTATGTATATATATGTGTGTATGTATGCATTTATGTATGTGTGTATGTGTGTATGTATGTGTGTGTGTATTTATTTGCGTGTCTATGTGTGTATGTGTGTATGTATGTATTTATTGGTGTGTGTATGTATGGATTTATTGGTGTGTGTATGTATGCAAAATCATTTCACTTTCATTGGTATATGGTTTCCATATGCTGGGGCGGGGCTGTGTGGGGGCGGGCCTGTGTGGGGGCGGGCCTGTGTGTGGGCGGGCTGTGTGTGGGCGGGGCTGTGTGTGGGCGGGGCTGTGTGGGGGCGGGGCTGTGTGGGGGCGGGGCTGTGTGTGGGCGGGGCTGTGTGTGGGCGGGGCTGTGTGGGGGCGGGGCTGTGGGGGGCGGGGGGGGGGGCGGGGCTGTGGGGGGGCGGGGCTGTGTGGGGGCGGGCTGGTGTGGGGGGGCTGTGTGGGGCGGGGCTGTGTGGGGGCGGGGCTGTGTGGGGGCGGGGCTGTGTGGGGGCGGGGCTGTGTGGGGGCGGGGCTGTGTGGGGGCGGGGCTGTGTGGGGGCGGGGCTGTGTGGGGGCGGGGCTGTGTGGGGGCGGGGCTGTGTGGGGGCGGGGCTGTGTGGGGGCGGGCTGTGTGGGGGCGGGGCTGTGTGGGGGCGGGGCTGTGTGGGGGCGGGGCTGTGTGGGGGCGGGGTGTGTGGGGGGCGGGGCTGTGTGGGGGCGGGGCTGTGTGGGGGCGGGGGCTGTGTGGGGCGGGGCTGTGTGGGGCGGGGCTGTGTGGGGGCGGGGTGTGTGGGGGCGGGGCTGTGTGGGGGGGGGGTGGGGCGGGGCTGTGTGGGGGCGGGGCTGTGTGGGGGCGGGGCTGTGTGGGGGCGGGGCTGTGGGGGGGGGGGGCTGTGGGGGGCGGGTGTGGGGGCGGGGCTGTGTGGGGGCGGGGCTGTGTGGGGGGGGCTGTGTGGGGCGGGGGCTGTGTGGGGTGGGGGCTGTTGGGGGGCGGGGCTGTGGGGGCGGGTGTGGGGGCGGGGCTGTGTGGGGGCGGGGCTGTGTGGGGCGGGGGCTGTGTGTGGGCGGGGCTGTGGGGGGGCGGGGGCTGTGATGGGGCCGGGGTGGGGGCGGGCTGTGTGGGGGGCGGGGCTGTGTGGGGGCGGGGCGGGGCTTGTGGGGGCGGGGCTGTGTGTGGGCGGGGCTGTGGGGGGGGCGGGGCTGTGTGGGGGCGGGGCTGTGGGGGGCGGGGCTGTGGGGGGGGCGGGGCTGTGTGGGGGCGGGGCTGTGTGGGGGCGGGGGCTGTGTGTGGGGGCGGGGCTGTGTGGGGGGCGGGGCTGTGTGGGGGCGGGGCTGTGGGGGGGCGGGGCTGTGGGGGCGGGGCTGTGGGGGGCGGGCTGTGGGGGGGGGGCTGTGTGGGGTGGGGCTGTGTGGGGCGGGGCGGGGCGGGGCTGTGTGTGGGCGGGGCTGTGGGGGGGCGGGGCTGTGGGGGGCGGGGCTGTGGGGGTCGGGGCTGTGGGGGCCGGGGTGGGGGCGGGGCTGTGTGTGGCGGGGCTGTGGGGGGCGGGGCGGGGCTCTGTGGGGCGGGCTGTGTGTGGGCGGGGTGGGGGGGCGGGGTGTGGGGGGGGCTGTGGGGGGGCGGGGCTGTGGGGGGTCGGGGCTGTGTGGGGCGGGGCTGTGTGGGGCGGGGCTGTGTGGGGGCGGGGCTGTGTGGGGGCGGGGCTGGTGGGGGCGGGGCTGTGGGGGGCGGGGCTGTGGGGGGGCGGGCTGTGTGGGGGGGCTGTGTGGGGGTGGGGCTGTGTGGGGGCGGGGCGGGGGCGGGGCTGTGTGGGGCGGGGCTGTGTGGGGGCGGGGGGGGGGGCGGGTGTGGGGCGGGGCTGTGTGGGGCGGGGTGGGGGCGGGGCTGTGTGTGGGCGGGGCTGTGTGGGGGCGGGGCGGGGCTCTGTGGGGGCGGGGCTGTGTGTGGGCGGGGCTGTGGGGGGCGGGGCTGTCCTTCCCCAGGTCCCCAGTGTGTGTGTGTGTGTGTGAGGAGCGGTGACGTGTCAGGAGATCAGAGCTCATGTGTATATATAGCAGCAGATCCCAGTGCTCACTCAGCGCCGGGGATAGCGAGTACTCACTGAGCTGTGAACATTGGCTGCTGGTGACTGCTGGTGACCTGTGACGACCAGTGGCGGCTGGTGACTGGTGACTGGTGGCCGGTGGCCAAGTCTCTGACCAGCAGCGGGTTACTGTGACTGCACACCCCGCAGCCGCTGCGCTGGGAGCCGCTGTTCGCTGACGGACGTCTGGTGGAGCAGAGAGGAAAGCTGTGGCCGGTGAGAGGGCGGAGGGGAGGGGAGGGGAGGGCCGCCTGCGGGGTGCAGCCGCTCCTGGGCTGCGGTTTGTGCACAGGGAGGGGCCCAGGGCTGGACCAGCAGAGAGCTGGTGCTGAGACCCCCGGCAACCAGACCATCCCCAAAACCTGCCACAGTTACCAACTTGATGTCTGACAGACACACTGTCAGGACGGCGGTGGTCCTGGAGTCCAGGGGGGAGGCAGAGAGGTAGAGTTGGGTGTCATCCGCACACATGTGGAAGTTGACCCCATGTCTGCGGATGATGTCACCACAACAACAACAGCAACAACAAGATTCCATTTATTGAGCGCCTTTCACGTCAGGAGGACGTCCCAAGGCGCTGTACAGTTGGGTCAGGACCCGAGCATTGGGGGGAAATGGTCAGGGTGAGGGGAGGGAAGGGAGGGAGCGAGGAGGGGGTAGAGAGTCGAGAGGGGAGCTGAAGGCTCGGTCAAAGAGAAAGGTCTTGAGACCGGCCTTGAAGGAGGAAAGGGAGGAGGCGGCGAAGGCACTGGGGGATAGAGTTCCAGAGCCTCGGGGCTGAGAGGCTGAAGGCCCGGCCACCGATGGTAGGGGGGTTGGGGCGGGGGATGTGGAGCAGACCAGAGCCAGAGGAACGGAGGGTACGGGCAGGTAGATAGGGGGATAGTAGGTCGGAGAGGTAGGAGGGAGCGAGGCCATGAATGGCCTTGTAGGTGAGGATGAGGATCTTGAATTCGATCCTCTGGGGGATGGGGAGCCAGTGGAGGCGAGCGAGGGTGGGAGTGATGTGGTCCCGAAGCCTGGTGCGGGACAGTACACGAGCTGCAGCGTTCTGAATGACCTGCAGCTTGTGGAGGGAGGTGCCGGGAAGGCCGGCGAGGAGAGAGTTCCCATAGTCCAGCCTTGAGGTGACAAAGGCATGGACCAGAGTTTCAGCAGCGTGAGGGGTGAGGTAGTGCCGTAGTCTGGCGATGTTCCGGAGGTGATGGAAGGCAGTGCCAGTTGTGGCGCTGATATGAGGGAGAAAAGAGAGCTCAGGGTCGAACAGAACCCCGAGGTTCCTGACTGGGTTTGAGAGGTTGAGAGTGCAGCCTTGGATGCACGAGGGGGCTATAGATATCAAAAAGGAAGGGACCAAGGACAGAGCCCTGAGGAACGCCACACGAGATAGAGCGAGGGCTGGAGGAGAAGCCGTTTGGTGGAGATGGTATGAGAGAGATGATCTGAACCAGTCATGGACTGAACCGTGAAGATTGAGGTGAGAGGAGGCGGTGGAAGAGGATAGAGTGGTCAATGGTATCGAAGGCAGCAGAGAGGTCATGGGGGACGAGGAGGCAGAGGGAGCCCCGGTTGCAGATGGACAAAATGTCATTTGTCACTTTTACAATACTACATTCGTAACCCTCCATAACCACAAGGTCATCGAGTTATCATACTAAGTGTTTCCTTGATTTACATCTGCAAAAAAAGACCATCTAGTTACACCTCACCTTCCTACACAGCTGCAACAGAAACGGCACCGGCATTCGGTGATGGGGAGCCAGAACTGATGAGATGTGGGTACAGAGTTTGGTCCGGGTCAGTATGCGGGCAGCAGAGTTTTTAATGAGCTGGATCTTGTGAATAGTGGAGCTGGGAAGATTAGCGAGGAGTGTGTTTGAATAATCCAGGCGGGAGGTGATAAACGCATGCAAGAGAGTTTTGGCTGCATTTGGGGTAAGGTACAGTCAGGCGGGCAATGTGGCAGAGGTGGAAGAAAGTGGTCCTGGTCAGATTATCTTTACATTCATTAAAGGAGGTGATGCATTTCGATATCAATTATCATATGTTATTCTTTATTGCAGGCATCATGAATTATTCCAGATTCATCAACGTAATAAGTGCAGCAAGGTTACCATCTCCAATAAGAGAACTGTGTAAGTAACAGCACAAATCTTCAATGTGAATAAAACCTGATTAAAATAATGCTGTTTATGAATTAAGATACGGAAGTACCTGTAATCCCCATCTGTCTTTTAATAATCCTTGCATTTGATATAGCGCTTTTCACGTCGGGAGGACGTCCCAAAGCGCTTCACAGAATACACTGTAAAGTGAATTGACTGTATATTTGTGGGCGAACGCGGCAGCAAATTGCGCACAGCAATGTCCCACAAACAGTCGTGGATTGAAAATGACCAATTTATTATTGTTTTTGTTTTATAAGTGTACAACAGTGCCAACCTGATTCAGTTGGTTCTGAAGGCTCTGGGTTGATACTGTACACCAGACTTTGAAATCCCATTGTGTAGGCTGACACTCTGGTGCACTGCTTTGGGCATGCTGCATTGCATATCGCCCCCAAAATACACAGTCAGTTCTCTTTACAATGTATTCTGTGAAGCACTTTGAGACGTCTCAATGACGTGATAAGGCGCTATATCAAATGTAAGGATTATTATTGTTTGATATGTTGTCCTTCACATAAGATGTTAAACCGAGGTCCTGTCAGCCTGTTCAGGTGGACGTTAAAGATCCCATGTCACTGTTTGAAATGAGAAGGGCATCTTTCACAATGTCATGGACCAAGTTTTTAAAAAATGGTAATCCATTTCATGGCTGTTTCTCGGACATTACCGTGTGCAAATTGGCTGCCGCATTCGCCTACTAATAGACAGTCACTACACCTCACAGTAAAATCAGAAAACTTTTGCCCTGCCGGGAATCAAACCCAGGTCTCTCACTTGCCAGGTGAGTGCTCTAACGCTGAGCTACAGGACTTCAATGAAGTAAAAGTTTCAGTTAGTGTGTTAAATTGTTTACATCAGGATTAAAAGGTTTGGAAGCAAGACAACTTTTTGTCATTGTTCGGTTTACTTTCTTGGGGTCTTGACTGACATGTTTATTTGCGCCATCTCTAACCTTGATTGGTGATGTACCTCAGAGTGTCTCCTTTATGTCTCGGAGGTTCCCGCCTGTCACTGATGTTTATGAGGGTTAGGGTTGAGGGTGGCAGAGAGAGTTGGGTGTCGTCCGCTAGTATATGAAAATGAACCTCACGCCTGGAGATAATACTACCAAGTGGGAACATGTAGCTGTTAATCCCACCTGCTATGTTGTTGCTATCTTTTTGCCGTCGGATGAGTGTTTCATGTTTTAGTTTGGTATTTTTACTTTAGGTGTGGTACAGCAAAAGCTCTTTGGTTCAACTACATAAGCCCTTTTTGGCTTAACCAAAGTTAACCCTTTAATACAGCTTGAACTGAACTGTAAACAGCCACTGTTTTTCCTTACAGGTATAAGAGCCACAATGTCTGCGTTTGCTAATAATATGAAAATAGGGCATGTAACAACAACAACGTGAATTTATCTAGCGCCCTCCACGCCGGACGGCGTCTCAGAGCGCTTTACAGAAACGGATCCCGGGGCCGAGCCAGGGGGAGGGGGAGGAAGGTGACCAAAAGTGCGGTCGAAAAGAAAGGTCTTCAGCAGAGACCTGAAAATAGGGAGGGAGTGAGACGAAGGCAGTGAGGAAGGCAGTTCCAAGCAAGGGGAGTGAGGAAGGGAATTCCAGAGCCTCGGGGCATAGTGGCTGAAGGCACGGCCGCCGATGGTGGAGCGGAGGATTCAGGGGACAAGGAGGAGGCCAGACCCAGAGGAACAAAGGCAACGAGTACTGTTTTGAGGAGAGAGGAGGTCAGAGAGGTAGGGGGTGCAGAGGGGTGCAGGGACTTGAATACGAGGGTGAGGATCTTGAAGTCGATCCTCTCTGGGATAGGCAGCCAGTGCAGTCTGGCACGGACTGGGGTGATCGGGGAGCAGAGTTTTGTGCGGGTGAGAATGTGGGCGGCAGAGTTTTGAATGGTTTTGATTTTATGGATAGTAGTGGATGGGAGACCGACGAGGAGGGCGTTAGAGTAGTCCAGCCAAGAGATGACAAAGGCATGGACCAGGGTTTCAGCGTCTTTTGGGGAGAGGTATTGGTGGAGATGGGTTGATGCGTCGGAGGTGGAAGAAAGCAGTGCTGGTGAGGGACCGGATGTGGGGGAGGAAGGATAATTGGGGGTTGAACCTGATGCCAAGGTTGCGTATGGGATCATAGAGTTTTAGAGGGAGGTCGGGTAGGTGGAGGAGGTGAGATCCGTGAGATTTTAGATGTTGACGGGAGCCAAAGAGTATGGCTTCCGTCTTGTCAACATTCAGCTGAGGAAGTTTGCGCTCATCCAGCCCCTGAGATCTGACAGGCAGGCTGACAGAACATCAGGGGACTGGGGGTCGCAAAGAGAGGTGGAAAAGTAGAGTTGAGTGTCATCTGCATACATGTGGAAATGTACCCCATGTCTGCGGATGACGTCCCCAAGAGGGAGCATATAGATCAGAAAGAGGAGGGGCCCAAGGATGGATCCTTGGGGTACCCCGCAGGTAACCGGGTGAGAGCGGGAGGAGAAGCCGTTTGTTTATTTATTTGAGAGGAACGGACATTTTGAAGGGAAATGAGGTGGGTTTGCTGGAGGGGGTGGAGGGAGGAGACAGTGGTGCGGAGAGGATTTTGGGTTGTACAGGAGAGATGGTTGTGGAGAGTGGTGTGAGTGGAGAGTTGGGGAGGGTATGTATGAGGGAGGGGGAAGTTGGGTTTGCCTTAAGGAGACGGTTTGAGCGGAGGGAGTGAATGATTGGACACGTGGGGTTGCTGCTCTGGGACAACCAGTGCCGGGAGCCATGATGGGCCCGGCAGAGGATGCCCAGGCTGGAGTAGAGGGAAGTGGTGATGGAGTCGAGGAGAGAGAGAAGGCGGGGAGGGCGGTGGGAGACAAGGACAGAGGGGCAGTAGCGGATTGAGGGGGGTGGGAGGAGAGACATAGAGGGGAGTGGGAGGAGAGACATTTATAGTGGAGGGGGAGGCTGGGGTCGGGGCGGCAGCCAAAACGCATACGCAGAGACTGGGAGCGAGTGATCAGCGGAACGGCATCAGCCCTCAGGCTCAGCCTCCCAGGTCATGGCCGGGATGGCAGTGTTTAATTTTTTTTTTAACTATGACGTCACGCCGCCGTCACTTTGTGAATCGCGCCACCACATCACTTACCTCCCCCCGCGCTCTCCTACCTCCACTCCCGATTGAGTGGCTCCTCACCTGGCTGTGCTTTTATACACAGCCATGCCTCAGCTCCGCCTCGCGCTCTCCTACCTCTGCTCCCGATTCATGTAGTTAACAGTGAAGAAGAGTGGAAGTAATCGGGGGATAATGTAGACCGACTAGGTTTGTCAGTACGTCTTGGAGGAGCAGATTGGCAGATGGCGCCAGGGATTCTTCCCACTTGACTCCTGTTGACCCTGTAAGCCAAAGCCCTAACAGGTAGACTGGTCTTAAATGGGTCAGCAGTGAGAAGCTTGCCAGACAGTGCTCTCAATGCATGCTAAAATAATAATAATCCTTGCATTTGATATAGCGCTTTTCACGTCTTCTGGACGTCTCAAGCGCTTCACAGAATATGTTGTACAGTGAATTGACTGCGTATTTTGTGGGCGAAAAGTGGCAGCCAATTGGGCACAGCAGTGTCGTGGAGAGAAGTGACAATTTCTTACTTTTTTTTCTTGAGGGATTATTATCAAGCATGAGGAGTAGGGAAATTTGCCCAAGATTTCGCCCTGCCGGGAATCGAACCCAGGTCTCTCGCTTGCGAGGCGAGTGCTCTAACTACTGAGCTACAGGACTCCGCTGCTATGTGGTTTTAGCTAATTAAACTTCATAAGCACTCTGATGCACACTCTGTGATCCCCAAGCTTTGGCTCTTGCCATGCAAGCAGTGGTCGAAACAAAGCAAATGCTAATAATGAGGTCTCACAAATACACCAAGACCAATAAAGCAAATAAAAAACATAAAGACACAATCATGTAAATAAAATTATGGCTTCGGCAATCACAAAAGGATACGATATGAGTAATAAAGTTCAATGCAATTAATTAATCAGATTGATAATTAATAATTAATCAGGCTGTGATTAGGAATCAACTTGTTAACGTGGTTCGATCAATGTTGATTATAGAATATCTCTTCTTAAGATCGGTTAGACTTGTCTTCTTCGTTCCCAAACTTAGATCTTTTTAGCCATGTCTGCCAAGTCAGCAGTGAGACCTTCAACAACTTGTTTTTACCATTCATTGTAGGGTTAAAAACATATCCTCCAAGGTCGGTATGCTCCTTTTGTTCTTGGCAACCTTCATGTACTGATGTTAGCAATGCGCTTGAGAGTCCATAGAATCAGTTCTATTTCAACCAAACAAGTCATGAGCCTTTGTGATATTATTTTTGGTCAACTTAAGAGAAACCGGAATTCTGGGTTTGCAAAATGTCCAGTCCCCACCTCGAGTGGGTCAAGCTGACAACACAGCCCACTACCACCATCAGAATCTTCACGATTCACTTTTACCTCAGCCCCACATCAATCCCTTCAACTAATATTAGCATCTGTTCCAGGAGTTCATGTTCTGAGCAACAGCAGCAGCAGTGAAATAGCTCCCAGGTCTTCTCTCGACTGTTGTGTCTTGTTTATGTTGCGCACATCGGAGAATGGTTCAATTTGTTAGGGTATTGGACTTGTTTGCAACCAAGCCTCCACCCAGAAAATAAGTTCGATCTTGACAAACCAAAATGGCAGATTTTAACAGTTTATTAAGCATACGAATAATGTTGGTTATACAGAATTAATGCAATATAAAATAACAGAGCAATACTACCTGTCCTTCTGCAGTCTGCCCTGAAGAGGTCTCTACAGACCACCCCTTTGCCCAAGCTTATATATCTTTTTCTTTTCTTTGTCTGCCTTATTTGGGCTTGTTTCTCACTATTCCAGTGCTTAATCAGAACACTTTCTTATCTAAAAGTACAGAAAGAGAAGGCTAATCAGGGCATACAACTCCTCTTGGTTTAAACCAGTT